CATGCTCTTGCAGGGTACTCCTTCAACATTACACGTTTCACCAAGGAGTCTCTTAACCTACCCTTGTTTCTTCCTGTCCATCCTGCCCATCTCATTTTTACCCCAAGTCGAATACCGGATGATTCCTCCCTTGGCCCCTTTGACCCCAAACCGCCACGTGGCCCCATTCAGCTTCTTCGTGAGGGCCAGATAATGGAGCATGATCTGGCTTATGGATTCATCATCTCTGTCATCCGCAATGGATCCATCTATGAGGTCGTTATCACAAGACTTGCATCACGACATGACGGGCTGTATGAAATCAGAGATGGGGACGGAAATGTGGTGTCCTCCACCTACTTGCATATGATCGGTAAGCAGCATCCCATGTTTCTCCCATTGAAACATTTTTTCTTTCTCATAATCTCTCTTCATTTCTCGGCCTCTGTGATGCTTCTAGAAAAAAAGGCCACTTGGCGAGCCCTCTTCAAGTCCATCAGTGTCCCTTCAGGCATGTTTGTGTCTCTGGCTGGTTTCATCTTGTTCATGAAGCGCTACCCAAACTGCAGCCTTTCACAGATCATCACAGGCATCAGGACCAACCGTGCACCACCAGCTAACCCCCCCAGAGTTAATATCCAGGTAGGACATCCAGACCATCACTAACATCAGCTTATGACCATTGTGGGAGTACTCTGAAATTATGAGTTGTACCTTCATCCTTAAGATTATTCAAACTGATCAAGTACTTATAAATCAGGGTATGATTTTGTTGAGCTTTTCAGTTAATCTCAAAGTGTATTCTGTGTATTATGTATTATGCGAACAGAAGCGAATACCTGTGAAATTTTGTGGTTTGTTTTGTAAAATCTGGGAACTCACAATAATGTATTTTTATTCAGTTATCCCATTAGTCCTTCCATCCATCCACCCACCCGTCCTTCTGTCCATCCACCCATCCATTCATCCACTGATCCATACATCCACCCATCCATCTGTCCGTCTGTCCATCCACCCATCCGTCCACCGGTCCATCCATTCATCCACCTATCAATCCATCCACCCATCCAACCGTCAGTCTATCCATCCATCCATCCGTCCGTCGATCCATCCATACATACATCCACCCATCCATCTATCCGTCCGTCCGTCTGTCCATCCATCAATCCTCCCATCCGTCCGTCCATCCATCCATCCATCCATCCGCACATACATCCACCCATCCATCCATCCGTCCGTCTATTTGTCCATCCACCCATCCAACCGTCGATCCGTCCATCCATCCATTAGACATAAATTATTCAACATGTTCCATTGAAATGTGAAACCAACTGATTTCTTGAATGATGTCTTTCAATTTAAAGCGAAACTGGCCCAAAACCAAGAAGGTGCAAGAATTAATAAAGAATCAGTTATTTATAAGCCAATATAAATGACACCTTTTTTTTTTTTTTTACAGCAGGAGTACAGTCATCCCCGTCCAGAACCCCCTGCCTATTATAATCCCTGTGAACAGCCTCAAACACCAAGAAAATGGACCCCTAGAGCCAGCCCAATACACACTGTAAGGCAGATTCTTTATTGAACAGTCTGGGATGTTAACTATATGTTCAGGAAACTTAGCTGTTTGTACTTACAGGGTTACAATCCTGTTGGCTCGGGGAGTCCAAGAGCAGAGAACCAGGAGGTACAGAGGCAGGCGGCTGGAAGCTCCTCGTCCCGCCATAATTTGATCCCAGAGGTAACAAAAAAATAAAAAAGGTCTAATTTAGTTGTGTTTCCTAGTAATGTAGTTTATAAAAATCTGTCTTTATTCCTCCCAAGCTGGACAACTCTAACGAGGAAGAAGAGAGGATTTCCTTTTCTATGCCTGGAACCTCCGACTGCCTCCACTCCTCTGAGGACTGCGTCCAGTTCCAGATAAAGACAGAAAAAGAGGAGGACGGACCGAGCAAATCAAAAGATTTCTTTTCTACATTGCCGCTAGAGGAGGACACTTCTGCCTCCTGCAGCGTTTACACCTCTAAGAAACTGGACTTTTTATAAAACAGAAGGAAGAGCAGAGGCAGAAGGCATTAAGAAATTATATCCATGGATTCTAAGGAGAAGTTGAAACACTATTTGCACAGTTTTTGGGTTTGTACTGATTTCTGAACCATGGGGGGAAGTGCTGATTATCCTGTTTCACTTTGCACTGGTTAATGGTGCTCTTAAAATCTCCTACTGTTACCTACCTCTAAACCTCAGGACAGATAGAATCTGCACTGTATTTACTGAGTGTCTGTATATGTTCTGTAAATTCTAGGGCTATGATTTTAAAAATACTAACTCTAAAGAGACAACTCTTATTACATCACATAAGTATAGCGGGAACTGGTGTGCTTACCTGTCATGCTAACCTTTCCTTATTATTGCAATAATAATGGTCAATATCCTGTTTGTTCTGCAGTTTATGTATTGTATGGTGTTGTGATTTTATGTTGGAGAAAACGACTAGTATTAATGTTAATGGCATGTATGTCCAAAATATTTTTACAGCTAATCAAAAGTTAATCTTTAAATCCTGTGCACTGGAAAATAACTTTTTTTTTTTTCAATAGATCTTTATCCACTAACATAACCTTATCTTTAAAATAAAATGTATATTTAATAAACATCATATCTAAACGTATTTTTGTGCATTCATATTTCAATAAGTTAAGGAAAAATAATTGTGTGAGTAATGTGTATGTTAAATCCAAGTGTATTATTTAAAATTTGAGTGGAGGGAAAAACTGCTGCAGAAAAAGAGGGATAACCTTAGCCTAAAGTTGAGGAAATGTCATCAGGAGTGGAGATGAGTTACAATTAGTGTTTTAAAAGTCCACCATCCAGACATTTTCAGCACATGGCCAAAAGTTGTTTCACTACTTCTGTCAAATCACTCCCGATTCAGAAAGAAAACATTTTTATATCAAACTTTTTACCACACCTGTGTTATAACTAAATGTTCATAACATTAATAATTTTGTTTAACGACACTCATCAAAAATATCTAAAAGATGTGTTTAAAATAATTTGATTTGAATCTATAAAATAATAAATATGTTTCATGTTTTAAATAAACTTAAAGACTGCCAATAACGTTTAGCTGACGGTAGGGGGCAGCACAGAAGCAGATGCTTGAGTTTTGACGTAGGAGGAAAACAGCGTAGAAGAAGATATAACATCAGTTCCTTTTATAGCGGCAATGAAAGGACGGCGTGCTACTCACACTTTTAGCAAAACATAAGTTAGGTAAAACTGCCAGATTCAAACAATTTAGTTCTCAGCATCATAGCCCCCTATAAGGCGAAGAGTTTAAGTGCTGCGCTGAGAAGATGTCTCTGGTTTGTGCAAGTAAGTCCAGCTGAATCAATTGTTAGACGGATGCAGTATGTTAGCTTATGCTAACAGCTAATGTGGCTAACGCTGGCGGCCACGCAGACCGCCTTCTACCTCAGAGTTACTCCATACGTGTTATGGGCCTTATTGATACTTTATTGTGAGTTATAATTGTTAAATTCGTCTCTGTCTTCAGTCTGCAACGAGGTACCGGAGCACCCGTGCATCTCGCCGGTGTCTAATCATGTGTTCGAGCGCAGGCTGATCGAGAAGTACATCGCTGAGAATGGGACTGACCCGATGAACGGCCAGCCGCTCTCCGAGGAGCAGCTGGTGGACATCAAAGGTAAAAAAAAATAACATAATCAGATTTGGGCTCAGGAAATTAACAGGGTTACTCCGGTATTTAGCTTTTTAAAGTCAATGTTCTATCTTTAGCCTTAATGTAAAGATTATAATGATTCTTCACTTTCCTTCCCTTTACATATAAAACTCGTAGTATTCAGAAAGTTATTGATGGTGCAAGTTAATCAGTCTGTTTTGAGAAGTATAGGAAAAACGCCTTTTTTTTTAAAGATAAGTTCATTCTGGATCTGCTCCCCATTTATTCAGCATAAAGACACTATAATGTAAATAATATCGCTGCTATAGTTGTAAACAGTGCATTCAACAGCAAATCATCCTCTGATTCATACTTATAATATTAATTATTGATCATAGGTGGAAGGGCCTCAATGAAATTTCATGTTCAAGCACTTTTGGAATAAAACTGGTTGATAGCAGTATTATTCATACAATCTAGTCATATCCACAGTAGTTTTTGGTTTCTTTATGTTCCAGAGATGTTTTAAGAAATCTTTGACTAATATTAAGATTTATTACAGAATTTTTTTTAATTGTTTATTTTTATTATGGTTTACCTGTAATGAAATGCTAATATTTTAATAAGCTTTTCTGTTTATCCACTTAATGTTTGACTCAGGCTGTTTTTGCATCAATAGACAGATCAGTGTAGTGAGCAGCCTGTGGTTCTGTTCAGGTGGTTGAAATAGCATCCTATAGCTGCTCTATATTGTGACTCTCATCTTGGAAAAACATGTTCTTGCCACTCCAGCAGGGCATTAACATGCTCATATTTTTGACAGATCATCATATATTGACAAAAACAATACCATATTTGTCTTTGATTTATATGTAAATTAAATTATATCCTCTGCAGATGATGATGATAAGCATAATAAATGTTTATAATTGTGACATAGTGTGTTTAGCCAAAACTTAATAAAAATGATTCTTTTAGTGACCCATCCCATCAGACCAAAGGCACCATCGGCTACTAGCATCCCTGCTATCCTCAAGTCCCTTCAAGATGAGTGGGTGAGTACGGGACACAGAGAATCTAAAACTTGCCTACACCTTTTAAAATGTTCTTCATAGAGTGGATATTTAGATTTTCTACTCTAAGAAAGTAATTTCATCTCTCCTTGGCTCAGGTTTTGATTAGGCATTCATCAAGTAGTTTCCTAAAGTCATGCTAGGACTTGTCTCCTAGTTTTACAGCAGCCCTTACTGGCTTTGTTTAGCTGTTCCTCCCAGGCAAAGTGTAAAACCTTACTTAAATCCTATTGGTTATTGTGCCGCAGGACGCTGTGATGTTGCATAGCTTCACGCTGCGGCAGCAGCTTCAAACTACCCGTCAGGAACTCTCACACGCCCTTTATCAGCATGATGCGGCCTGCAGAGTCATCGCTCGACTCAACAAGGAGGTCACCGCTGCAAGAGAAGGTAAGTTGGCTGCTGGGGTTATTGCTTAGCATCTTTATAATGTATGGCAGCTTTTGTTTTTATCATCTGAATAAACTATTGGCTTCATGGAGTGTTTTTGTTTGCTTCACAGCTCTTGCAACACTTAAACCACAAGCTGGACTGGTGGCTCCTCAGGCTGTGCCAGCCTCTCAGCAAGCTGCTGCTGTCAGTATCTTGCATTTATTTTCAAACTTGATTCCTTGAACTAACTTTTTACTGTTCATTATATAAACAAGGCTGAATTCTGTGTTCTAGGGTGCTGGAGGAGAGCCTATGGAGATCAGTGAACAGGTGGGAATGACCCCAGAGATCATTCAGAAGGTAAGAACATTTGAACTTCTTATTCAAGTTCATTAATCTTCAACATAGCTTGCACTTTTTTAACGTTTAAAATCCTTTTTTTTTTTTTTGCAGCTTCAAGACAAAGCCACCATCCTCACTACAGAGAGAAAAAAGGTAATTTTTTCAATTCCCTTAAGGTTGGATTTCTTTCTTTGATGGGTCTACAATTGGAGCTCTGTTGTGTAAACGTTATCTTTTGTTTGTTCGGCTGTTTCTGTAGAGGGGAAAAACCGTCCCAGAGGATCTGGTCAGAGCTGAAGATCTTAGCAAGTACCGCCAAGTGGCCTCGCATGCTGTAAGTGTGGATTTGGCTCCTCTGTGGATTATTTGGTGTCTTTAACAGACGTCACAATCCTGGCTTGTTTTTTTTTTTCATAGGGTCTTCATAGTGCCAGCATTCCTGGCATTCTGTCCCTGGATGTGTGTCCCTCTGACACCAACAAAGTGCTCACTGGTAAACACTATTTTATTACTTCTTCAGCAGTAATCTTAATAAACCTTTGTATGACATAGAGCTGCCTGTTTTCTCCCAGGTGGAGCTGATAAGAACGTGGTCGTATTTGACAAGAACGAAGAGCAGATTGTGGCCACTCTGAAAGGTCATGCCAAAAAGGTCACCTCAGTCATTTACCATCCTTCCCAGTCTGTGGTCTTCTCTGCCTCTCCTGATGCCACCATCAGGGTGTGGTCCGTTACTGGAGGTAACTGCATTCAGGTGGTGCGAGCCCACGAAGCTGGAGTCACCGGGCTGTCTCTGCATGCTACAGGGGACTACCTGCTCAGCTCCTCTGAGGATCAGGTAGGTTTGCAGCTCGAAAAGATGCTGACATTCTGCTGCTTCACCACATTAATCCTGTTGTGTTTCTGCTTCAGTATTGGGCCTTTTCTGACATCCAAACTGGTAGAGTCCTCACCAAGGTTACTGATGAGAGTGCTGGCTGTGGTACGTGTCTCTGTGGATGTGTGGTCATCTAGGTTTGTGTTGACAGACACTGATTGTTTTTCTCTGCGCCTGCAGCTCTGACCTGTGCGCAGTTTCACCCTGATGGTCTGATCTTTGGTACCGGTACTGCCGACTCCCAGATTAAGATTTGGGATCTGAAGGAGCGCACCAACGTGGCCAACTTCCCAGGCCACTCTGGACCCGTCACCTCCATTGCTTTCTCTGAGAACGGATACTATCTGGCCACAGGTTCGGTTTTTGCTCTTCATTGATTTATTTTGCTTTAAGGGTCTTCTAACTATCTGAACGCATAGAACAGTGTCCTGGAGGTAGAATCTCAGCAGCATCTTGAGTCTTAATTTCTAAGCAGAGATGAATCTAAGACCTTATGCAGGATTTCAATCTTAATTTAAAGTACAAGGATTGTCTAAATAAGCCTTTTGTGTTGTTGTTTTTTGTCACTAGATCTGACGAAATTGGATTTCAAAATATGGCAAATATAACTATGTCAACTTTATGTTGCAAAACAAACATGCTTGGTGTTTCTTGATGAGCCACATTTGGTTTGGATTAAAGAACCTTTATACATCTTGTTAAATTGGGGTTTATTTTGTTTATATTTACTGTACTCTTTGCAACTTGAAAATATTTTTAGGAAATGCATCTTTCCTTGTTCTGGTTCAACTTTCACCAGTTAGTGAAAATGTTCTTGTTTAAGCTACATCTGTTTGGTAGAACCACAGATATATAACGAAAATGCATTGTTGATGTTTTCTGAACATTTTATCCTTTTATTATAATAATGCATATATATTTGTGACCTCAGGTGCCCAGGATAGCTCTGTAAAACTGTGGGATCTGAGGAAACTGAAGAACTTTAAGACCATAACTCTGGATAACAACTATGAGGTAACGTGAAATGTTTCCTTATTGTTCAATGACAGAAGTTGTGTCATCTGTAGCACCATTTAATACTCGCCTACAAAGATTGGTTTACTGGGTGTTTTTACACCAGCCTACGAAAGAGATTTACTCTCTCTGCTGCAGCGCAGGCAGCCTGCTCTGCATGACAGCCAACAGACAGAGAGGCAGACTTAAGATCCACTCACTTGGGAGGACAGAGTTTGGTGCTTTTGTCGCCAAAGTCTCTTTTAACCTCTCAAAACCTGTAACCTGTTTACAAATAATAACTCAGAATGCATGAAAATTACACTTGGTAAGATGTTTACAAATATAGACATGTTAGACATCATCAAAGCTTAGATTCTCCACATTTCAACCACCTAGTTCATTTTATGGACATGGCGAGCACCAAAGCACAATTACATAATGTACCATGACAAAACAGCCACAACAAGCAAGCACGTCTTTATAACTGCTGTTATAAGCTAGCTATTATTTTCGAGAATAAATAAAAACAACTTATCGTCTTGTCTGAACTGATGCAGCTTGGGCTTGATTCAGCTTTCATGTATATATTCAGAAACTAGGTGTTGGCTTTCAAATAATGTATCACACATGTAGTTTGGACTTACATTTCCTAAGTTATTTACTTTTCCATTTGGATATAAAAAATAGGTGAGGATTTCCCAAAATGAGGTGGCTATTAAGAGGTTAAGATGTAAAAAAAGCCACTAGATTTGGTGCTAGGTGCTTTTTTGAAATAAAGGGGGACAAATCACATAAGTCGGCAACACTGGACATGACCAGTTTTCTAAATTAAAATGTAAGTAAATAAGTTTGATGCATTTAAGAAGCCTAAATTTGATTTTAGATATAGCAAAAGTTACTGCTGTCTGTAATCAGTTCTTGTTGCATTTACAGTTTCCTTTTGATAACGCTTAAGTTGATTTTGGTGAACAACGGTAGAAGTTTGTCACTAACACTTAATAACCTGCCACCCCCATGTGATACATGGGGGTGGCAGCATCATGCTGTTGGGATTATGCAATGAAAGGGAAGCCGATTAGAGTCTAGAGAACGAAACTAAAAGCTGTTGGAGGTTTGCGTTCCTGCGAATATGGTCCTCTTTCCTAATGTGAAATCAGGAGGTTCTAGAGGTAGGAAAAATTTAACGCTAGATTAAGAGAAGCAAGATAAAACCTTAAATCGGAGCATGTTTTTCTTTATACACATGATTGGTAATCATGTATTCAACAGAATCAGATTTTAACTGTTGCATTTACTATTAGGGAGGAGTCCTGGTTAGGTAAGACATTAAATATTTCCACATTTGTTAAGTACGCAACATCCAACATATAAAGGCTGTCTGTAAGCATCTGTCCTGGGGATTGAGGTGTTTTAAGGCTCTGCTTTCTCTGTGGGACAAACATTTTAATAGGCTAAAGCGAGCATGCCTCCTGGTTTGAAAAGATCCAGCTGTTTTCCTTTGCGTCATGGTTTTATTTTAAGATAACCGCCCTCCAGCTTCAGTTCAAGTGTTTAAAGATGTTAAAACATCGGTCCTCAGCTGCTGAAAACACATTAGGGGCTGGTGCTCCTTTCTTTTCTTGAAACTGATTAATTTTCATTTCCCTTCCAGGTGAAGTCCCTGGTATTCGATCAGAGCGGAACCTACCTGGCTGTAGGTGGATCTGACATCCGTATCTACATCTGCAAGCAGTGGTCTGAGGTGCTCAACTTCACAGGTGAGGAGACAGAAAAGCCAACCATCTAATATCTGTGACTGTAAATTAAATATTCAAATCATTTGAACTTTTCTGTTCATCTTTCAGACCATACAGGACTGGTGACTGGAGTGGCCTTTGGAGAAAATGCCAAATTCCTGACGTCTGCAGGAATGGACAGAAGTCTCAGATTTTACAGTTTGTAGAAAAGAGATGCATTCAGGATGAGGAGAGGGCAGCTGAATGGAGGAGATGTGTAACCTTACTGAACAGTCATCTTTAAAAAGAAATCCCTGTTTACTGTGCTTCTGATATCATTGTAATCTGTCACATTAAAACACAGCAGTATGGGCAAAACAACCTGTTTGTTTGCTTTGCATCCAAATGATGTGACGTGAGAACAGAAACAAATTTTCTGTCCTATATGACGGCATTTGATTTTATTATTTCTGTTTTTATTTTTAGGGAGGGTTAAGTTGCTTGTGAAACAGTTTGATGTACTCGTAAAAAAAAACTAAAAAAACAGATCTGGTCATAATCAGCTTTGCTTTTTAATGTAGATTATCTTATTCGTAGGGAAAGATACACTTAAATCTGTAGTGATCCTGCAGAAGATGAATCGGTGTACAAGCTTCATTTCATGGTTTAGCCTTCCCCCTTTTTTCATTTCTCGTTTAATCTTTCCATTTTTAATTTCTTTGTTTTTTTTCCAGTTGTACATTTGCCATGAGCTACTGTGTTCCCGATAAGCCTTTGATGATAAAATAAAATATCTTTTTCAAGTTATATTGCCTATATTTTCATTTAATTTGCACATTTATATTTTAAGACTTGGAACAAACCAGACTATGAAATGAAAAGGAGAATACAGAAATGAATTGACATGTTAGTAGTTAAGCTATTGGAAATATTGATGAGTTTTGTTTTATTTTAATTAAATAAATTAGTCATTTGATGTAGTTTCGTCTAAAGGCGCTGGAAATCTTGAAATTTTTAAAGATACTAGAGACAAGTGTAAATATAGAAAAATAAACTTTTCCTGTTGTAAAAATATACCAAATATAAAGAGGATTTCTTGTTTCATTTAAGTTATTCTGATAATTAGGCCCCTGATGCCTTAGGTCTGTCTTTCTAAATGTGAGTCTCTTTTGTTACTGGATGCCTTTTGTTCAGCGGGTGTTGTGTTGCATTTTTAAAAATATGTTAGCCTTATTTTTTTAGATGGATTAAGTCTACAGGGATTTTTTTTTTTGCGTACAATAACCTGCACTGTAACCAGGCTTGGATGCAGCTAATCAGTTTTTTTTTTTCCTAAGATTTAATTACTTTTGCAATTACATTTCTAACTGGAAATACTGGTTTGGACATTTTATTTTAGATTTTTGACAATTTTAAAGCTGTATTTTCAATTTACTTCACTTTTCATATTGAAAATTGATTTACTAAAACAGGATTTAAAAGAACACAAAACTGAGAAATCTGTGAAATGCAAAATAGTTTTCTTCCAGTTTTAAATGTCCAATCCTATTTTATTTGTTAAGCACCTAAAAACAACCACTGACCAAAATGATGTACAAAAAGAAAAAAGCTAAAACATGGGTAAGAATAACATTCACACAAAATTGGGTAAAAGATAAGAATAAATTACAGAAAAATAAAAAAAAGCCCATTGTCTTGCTAGGCGATAAAAGCCAAAGAGAAAAGGTGGGTTTTGACAAGAGATTTCAAAACAGTCAGAAGATGCCTGTTATTATTATTTGTTTTCCTACTTGCTTTGATTCTGTTTTATTTTCCTATATTTTAATCCTGTAAAGCACTTTGCATTGTCTTTGTACTGAAATGTAATAAACAAATAAATTTGCTTTGCCTTGCCTTGTCTGATCTGCAGAGGTAGATCATTCCAGAGTTTTGGAGCTGCCAACAGCCAAAGCTTGCCTGGTCTCCTCTGAGCTTTTGCTGACCTCAGAGAGCGAGTAGATCTATAAGGATAGAAGCTCAGAAAAATTCAGGGATTTAAAAGCAAATAAGATCATTTTTATATGAATTCTAAAATGTATGGGCAGCCAGTGGGGTGAATCTAAAATATTAAGACAAGGCAGGTCTATTTGTGTAAAGCCATTTATAGAAGTGGTTTAAAAAAAAAAAAAAAGAATATAAAGAGAAGGACAGAATTTGGACAATTCCAACCAAATTATGCTAACTGTTTAAGATTTGCTAAAATAAACTTTTTGTACTTGTAAAGCAATATTTCCCCCTTTATGGATAATTGCTATAAACAATGTTTTTATTCTAGATCTCTATAGGAACCAGCAGGTTTTACACATTTCAGGTTTTCACACAGTTCATTTCAGAGTTTACGAACATAGAAACTAAATGCTGCTTCTGGTTGTTTTGCTTTAGGGAGCAGATCTGATCACCTGATGTGTCAATATCTGGGCTCTGCAGCCTTTACAATCCAAAGAGCCACTTTTGACTTCAGTCCAGCTAATAGAACTTATTAAGAGCCGCACAACGGTGTATGAGTTTTTTTTTTTTTTTTTTTAAAGAAAAGGATAACATATTTAATAAAAATTCACCATAAGAGATCTGTCTTCGGTCATGCCATTTCATGTTTTGTTTTTAAATGAAAAAAAAAATAAAAAATTATTGCGAAAAATAAATGCACATTTCAATGGGTGGCAGATTTTTTTTTAAATTATGTTAAAAAAAATATATATATATATATATATTTTTTTTTTCTTTTTTTTCTGTTATTTTATAGTCAAATTATTTTTAATTCACAAAATAACAATGTCTGACTTCAGCTCAGCTAAAAAAAAAGAATCAGAATCAGCAATGAAAAATATTATATAACAAACATGCAGAGATGGCAAAAGTACTCACTTTCCGTACTTGAGTAAAAGTACAGATACTTGTGTTAAAAAATACTCTGGTAAAAGTGGAAGTACTGATTAAACTCCTTTACTCAATTAAAAGTAACAAAATACAAAATACAGGCTTGTAAATTTACTCAAAGTATAAAAGTAAAAGTAGAAACCACTTTTTTCATGCCGTTGCCTACATTTGAAATAGATCTCCGTTGTGTTCATTTTCAATCATCTCCTCGTCCATACTACTATGCTAACGCCACCGCCACCAAGCTGCAATGATTTGCCGCGAGTGAATACCGCCGAATCTGTCGATTTATAGTGGTGCGTCAAATGCAACGTAGATTCCCATCCAATTAGATTGAATTTGGTATTGATGACGTGAAAAATAATAACGGTAACTCCATTGAAATGATTCAAAACTAAAGTAACGAGCCAATTTTTAAAAATGTAAGGAGTAGAAAGTACAAATATTTGTGTAAAAATTTAAGGAGTAGAAGTAAAAAGTCGCCATAAAAATAAGTAGTAAACTAAAGTAAAAATATCAGAAAAATCTACTTGAGTATAGTAACAAAGTATTTGTACTTCGTTACTTCCCATCTCTGCAAACATGTTATTCACAAAAGGTTCCTGGTATTCTTGGAACATCATGTTAAAAGAATATATTTTCCCTACTTGAAAAACAAAAGTTATCTATTTCTGTTGTTGGAAATTCAATGCAAGTAGATGTTGGGGAAAGATACAAAAACGTGCATTAAATGAAAGCAGTAAGTTTTTCCTTAAATTGGACACTGCCAATATTTAGACTCATTTATCGCTTAATAAACTATTTTCTAGAGTTGCAAAAGGAAAGGACCCTTATATGTGTATTCTAGAAATTAGAACATGCATTTCCATGAAGCTAATTTTTCAGAATAAAAGCAAAATAAAAAATAAAAAAATGTAATCAGATATAAAACGTTCCAAAAAACAATGCTGATTGTTATTATTGCTCTGGTATTATAAATGGAAAAGGGAAAATCATACAAAAAGAAAAAAGGATGATAAATTATGATGAACCTTTTTATATTTAATTTATTTTTTTCAATCTTATGTAGTATGTCATCTTTATTTTAGTGATGTGTTTTTTCTACTGGTTTTCTAACAGAGGGCGGCGCTGGTCCAATCAGTCTGATTCCCTGCTAGTAAAGCAGAAATATCGCCCCCTCGTGGTGAGAGAAAATAGTAACGGTTACCTCCACCGTCACGTGAGACTGCCAGTAACGTGACTCTCATGAACGGGAAATGGGAACAGAGACAGGATAACTAACCCCACAATCTTGAATCACGTCTCCACTTTGTCTCGGTTGGTCGTCGGTTCCGTCCAGAGCAGCTTTCAGGGTCCTCGGTGGTCCTAGAGGGGTCCAATCTGCAGACAGGTGAGGAGAGACAGCCCTCATTTAGCTTTGTTTACTGCTAACTGTGAGCCACTTTTCCCACCATAACTTTCCTTATGGTCACATTTAAAACCTTTATACAGTGGATTTCTATTTCTGTTTCACGCTGTACGCTAAAATATACTATAAGCTTATAATTTTCAATCTTTTATTGTGTTTTCCTTTGTGTGTTCTGAAAACGAAACTCAGCAGTTAGCTGAAATAAAACATGGACAAACAAAACTATCGACAAACAAAACTATCGCTGGGAAAATGGATAGTTTATTTTCAGAAAAAGTTTCTCTTTTTCTCTGTGTTTCTCTCATCCACACTGATTAATTTTATTTGGTAGCACACAGTTCAGTCTATTAAATCAGTTTCTATCAGATGATTTCTATTAACCCAGCAGAACAAAGCAGCCTACAAAATGGGAAACAAAAAAGGGAAATACAGAAACTAATTGAATTCCTTTAAAGAGACCTATTTTTTATCTTTTGGTTTAAAAAAAAAAAAAAAAAAAAAAAACTTCCCAAACATCTCAAATCATTAATATGAAAGTTTAATTTATGTTTAATGAGTTAAAATGTGACTTTTTCTTTGTTAGGTGAATTAAACTGGCACCAAAAGAGAAACGTACACATATATTGTATTATTCCTTCCATTATAGTGCTACCAGAGGGATATGTTTGCAGGAATGCAAATTTCACCTGATGATCGGACTGCTTCCCGTTTTTGAACAGTTGTCAGTTAATCTAGATCCTCTTTTTTTGGACTTTTTAAAACTAAATCATGCCTTTGTTTCTTTGCTATAAACAGTATTGATGTTTGTTGGCCATGCGATAATATTTAACCTTGTTTTTTCAGATTTAAAGGTGGAAGTATTACTGCTTTTCTTTGTGCCTGCAGTTATGGGCTCCCTGTTCCGAAGCGAGGAGGTGTGCCTGGTGCAGCTCTTCCTCCAGTCTGGCTCGGCCTATAACTGTGTGAGCGAACTGGGAGAGCTGGGATTAGTGGAGTTTAGAGACGTAAGTCAAATAATCGTTTCACCTTTCAAACAGGTAGAGGTTGTGAGTTGAAAACTTCTCTTGATCTGATTGTTAGATAAAGAACTTTTCTACAGATGTTATCAGATTCCTTTCAGATTATTATAAAGCTATGTTTTTCTAAGATAAAGGGTTTGTTGGACACCAATATTTTCCTTCCTGCTTCTATAATAAGGTGAACATGAATAAC